CTTTGTACTTGCTGTTCCTAAGGCCTGAAATTCGCTTACCACACACCTCAAGGCTACCTCTCTCATCCCTTGGGTGTCAGCTCAAATGGTCCTTCCTCAGAAGCTTTCCCAGCTAAAAGAGCCCTCTCACCCCTTGCCTGTCTGTCCCCTCACCCTCTCTGTCTTTTCTCCATAGCACTATCCCCTCGGAAAGCGTCCTGCCTGCTGGCTTGTGTTTTACTGCCTGTCTTCTCCCACTACAATGTCTGCTGCAGGAACGTAGGAACCTATTCACTGCAGCAGCCTCTCCAACAATTCCTCTCTGGCATAGGTATTTGTTGAATGAAAAGAAATGAATGAACAATCATTGACACATGCAGACATGGCCACAAGTCATCTAGGTTACACTGGCAAGCAGAACACGCTCAGACAGCCAGGTCTGGGTTCCCATCACCAGGAGCATTACACCCATGCAGGCCTTCATTCGGATGCATTCTGAGCGGAGTCTAGCATGGCCCTGCAGGATGGGCAAGGTGGCTTGTGCCCTAGGCTGGGAGCAAGACTGGGGGGGCAGGGATGGTGACAGGTTATTTGTGTGCCTGGTGTGTGTGTGCATATGCATGTGCATGTGTGGGTAGGGAGGATCACTTACCTTCAGATCAGTAGGGAATTCCTCCCTCTTCACCAGGCCTGTGGCTGCTGCGATGTTCCCTGCCCCAGAGAACACAGCTCCTCCCAGATGTGAAGCCTGCTCCTTGGTTTTTTCAGCCACTGGAGCAGGGAAGGGGTTGAGGAAGGCGTTTGGGAGCCAGGGGGAAGGAGCCATAGATGTCCCGCTTTGTAGTATCCCAGGGCCTGCCCTCCCCATGGAGCATCCCCGCAGAAGCCTTGGGAGTCTCCCCCGCCCCTCCCCTCTGGTTTCTGGCCAGATCACTGGCCTAAGTGAGAGAAGGGGCCAGTGCCAGGGCTGGGCTGGTACCTGAAGCCACACCTTGTACCACACCTTCTCGGGTCTTGCTTCCTGAAGGGAGAAAAAAGCAGTACATTTAAGGGCTCTGTGCTGAGGGAACGGAAACCCCAGCACAGCGTGGTGATTACAGCGTGGGCATCCCGGCCCCATCACTGCCTCCTTGGGTCCCTACAGCCTACAACCTGCACCCTGTGCTAACCCCCGTCTTATCACTGCACACCTCTGTCTGCAGGAGTTGCAATTCTCTCCCACCTGATGTGATACCCACATCCCTCTAGGGGATGTTGGCTGAGGGCCAGTGTCTTATAAAGCCCTCTGCCTGCCCCATTGCACTTCACTTCTCCCCAGTCCTGGGAGGCAACTGCTGTTATTGTCCCTGTTTCACAGATGGAAGCTCCGTGTGGGTTCCGCCGCTAGAAAGTGGCTGAACTGACATTCAAGTTCAGGTCTTTCTGACCCTAAAACTTCAGCTACCAACCACTCTAAGAATACGTAGCCCAGGATGGAAGGCAGGTGGGGGGTTCGAGTAGGGGTGGAGCTGGGAGACAACAAAGCTATGTATTTTGAAAGGTTCCTCTCGTGCCCCACGCACCACTGCTCATAGCCCACTGCTCCACCACTCCATTTCCTCTAAAGATTCTCTTCTCCTAAGAGGGTGCAAACTCCTTCTTCTGGCCAAAGTAGGGGATGTCAGGCTCCGGGTGGGTCTAAAGGTGATGTTTGGATTGTGACTGGCACCCATGGCATTGGCTGGGCCTTCCCAGGAGGATAGCAAAACACATCAAAATGCCTGGGGGCCGCTGGGAAGGCCAGAGGGCCTGATCTGGGCTAGAGAAGGAGAGCCGGAAAGGGGGTGGGGAGTATCCCCTCTGATAATTTGGCAATACAGACAACAGTGACAGAGCCAGAACTGGGTGTCTGGGCAGGCTGAGCCTGGCAGGGGGCTCAGGGGAGAGGCTGGCATGGGAAGACAGGATATTCTCAGGGCAAAGGCCAACCAGCACCCAGAGACAGGAGGGGCAGGCCGCATCCTCCCTTTCACTCCTCCCACAAAACATTAGTTTGCACCTATTCCGTCCCAAGCCCTGGGCCAATCGCTCACTGTCTGAAGTGGGTAGAGAAAAACAGATTCAGTTCCTGGACCTCAAGTAGAGGGGAGAGGACTTCCAGGCTCCAGGGACTATGTGAAGAGGGAAGGGACACTACCGGGGCCTTGAGAAATGAGGAGCAGATGGATATCAGAAAGGAGATTGCAGAGGGTATCCCAGGCCCAGGGACCCACACAGACAAGGCAGAGCAATGTGCTTTCAGGGCAGTCCGTGTGCCAGGAGCCATAGGTGTGGTGAGAAATGTAGACTGAGGCAGGACTGTGAAGGGCACTGAATGCCAGGGTACAGGGAACCAAGGCTTTAACTTGTAGGAACTGGGGGGCCATCGGGGGCTCCCAAGCAAAGGGAGGAGCAGGAAATGCCAATCTAAGGGGAAGAGCAGCATGGCTTGGAGGGGCAGAGTCTATTAGCAGAGAGACAGTGTCAGGGAGCCAGGGGCCAGCAGCAATGAAAGACATGGGGAAGGAGGTGGGAGGGAGGCCAGGCCTGGGGTCACGCAGACATGCACTTAAGCCTTCTCCCGGTCCCAGCCACCCTGATCTGGTGGCTTTACCACCTCCCATCAGGCCTTGCTGCAGTTGTTCTGTCCCCAGAGGGCCAAACAACCTTTCTAAACTAATCACATCGCGGCAGTCCATTGCTTACTCTCTCACGGCCAGCATAACAACGTTTTGCCCTGGCCGGCAAAGGGCTCTCATGAACTGGCTCCTGCCCATCTCTCTGACCTCACCTCCTACCACTGCTTCCTGCCCTGCCTCCAGCTCACCCCAGGGCCTTTGCACCTGCCTTTTCTGCAGGCCTGCCCCCCTCTTATTACTCAGGGATGAGGCATTCTCCTCGGGAAGCCACTGGATGTCAACTCAAACTACTGAAATGCTCTGTGTCACCGTCAGGAGAGCAGGAACCATGGTCTCCTGTTCACCCTGAAACCCAAGCATCCACACAATGCCTGGCTCATAGTAAGTAGGGACTAAATATTTTTCAAATGGCCACAATCCAACCAAATACGCCATGACCCTGGGCAAGTTATACAACCTTCTCAAGCCTGCATAGGGAGTCATTATACCTGCTCTGCACAAGCAAACCCTGAGTCACCACAGGGGTTCAGTAAATGTTAGTTTCACGCCTTTCCTCCTTTTATGCAAATGACCCTGCAGACTCAGTTTCCTTTCCACTAGGGGTGAGAAATTTTATCCACCTGGCCTTTCTCCTGATACCAGCTGGCGGCTGCAAGGAGACTGGATGGGGAGGGTAGGTGGCAATGGTAAAACCACAGGCGTCGTGATGCAGGCGGACCTGGAACTCAATTCAACCTTGGAGGTGCTGGAGGGAGGGGCCACAAGGGAGGGGTGGGGCTTCGGAATATATAAAGCTCGGTTCAAACCCCAGCTTCAGCTTTCACCAGCTGCGTGACCTTGGGCAAGATATTTAGACCTCTGGGAAGCCCAGTTTCCCTTATCTGTGGAATGGGCTGGAGCATTAAATGAGGAAATGGATGTTATGACATTTTACCCAGTACTTGGCATAGAACAAGTGTTCAACACCAGATAACTATTAATAATAGTAATAAGGATAAGAAAAAGGAGCTCTCTGCTTTCATCACTGCACCGGTGCCTGGCTTTTCAGCTGGAGCGCCCCCTCATCAGCCGGCCCCGTGTCCCCATTTCCGAACACAGACCCAGGCTTCTATCGGCTACGTCCCCCGTGACCCCTGTGATCCCGCTCCACTGCTGACTCATATTCACCTGCCCAGAACCCCCCTCCCCGGGACCCAGCCCCAGCTCCACACTCTCGGAGGACCCCCAGCCCCGCAGCCCCACAAGCCCCGCCCCTCGCCCACCGACGTAGAGGACGCCCTCCTTGGTCTTCTCCGCCGCCTCGGTGACCCCCTGCTTGGTTTTCTCTGCGGCTGCCACAACGCCCTCCTTGGCCATGGACAGGCCCTTCATGAACACGTCCATCCTGGCGGCCTGGGGAGGGCGATACACGGGCACCGGTGCGCTGGCCCCGCACCCTCACCCCAGCCCCTCCTGAGGGACGCGGGTGCCCCCCCTCCCCGCTCCTCCCGAGACCAAGGCGCCCTTCTGGACCCTGAGCACCCTCCCGCTCCCCCCCCCACCCGCCCCACTCCCCAGTGCGAGGCCTCAGGGCCGCGGAGAGTCCCAGCGTCCTTGAAACCCGGGGACGCGGGAGGGGCCCCTGCCTCGGTTATCCGGGCCCTGCAACCTGCAGTCTCGTGGAACCGGAGTACTGGGTTCGGCACGAAGACCCAGGACCCGCCTGTTCACGCACGGCAGAGTCACACGGTCATGCACACAAACATACACCACGGATACGCTCACGTGCACACACAGGACACGCAGCCGATCCAACGCGCTCGAACACTCCGACCCACACGGGCGCTGACACACGTCCCCACGGCCGCCCGGGCAGGGCAGACACCAGAGCACACTCACATACTCCGGGGTGCACGCTGAAGCGCACCCCCGGGCCCCCCTCCCTTTTCTACCCCCTTCCCCAGCGTCCTCCTGCCACCCCAGTCCCCTCTCCATCCTCATCCCGTTCCCCAGCCCCGGCGCGCGGTCGCCTCACCTGGATGCGGGGCAGGGGCTGGGGATGGAGCGGCGGCTTCGGCGAGCGGACGCGGGGGCTCCGCTAGGCCGGGCCGGGGTGCACTAGGGGCCGGGTGGGGGATAGGGCCGGGGTCAGGCGCTCGGGTCGCGGGCCCTGAGCAGGGGCGCAGCAGTGCGCGGGTCTCGGGTGCGTCGCCAGCCACGGCTCGTTCCTTGCGCCCAGCGAGCTCGCGCGCTCCGGTTCCTCCGGCTCCGGCGCTGCGGCAGCTCTGAGCTCAGCGCCCCCTCTGGCGGCCGCACCTCCCCCTCGGCCTGACTGACAGGGGGCGGGGAGGGTGACAGCGCGCGTAGTCGAAGAGCCTTCCGGGACTGGCCCGGGACGCGCCCCTGGGGGCTCCGGCCGTGAGACTCGCGTAGTCTGTTGGGAGGTGGGGGTGGGGGACAATGCGACGTGCGAAGAGTGGGGAAGAAATCACGCGATTGGCTTTGGAGTTCCACTGGGCTCGAATCTCAGCAGTGCTTTTTATTAACCGTGGGACCTTGGGCTACTCGGCTCTCCTTTCTGAATGACTGTTTCCTCTTCTGTAAAAGAGGGATGGTTAATTCAACGAATGTTTACTGAGCGCTTAGACGAGTGGTGCGGGTTCAAGGCTAGAGGCAGTAGAAAAGGAAAGCAAGGCTCCTGGTCTCGGGGAGCTTACCACGGGGGTGTTTGTACATGTGTGTGTTCATGTGCTCAGTGGTGAAAGACAAGGCAGAAAAACCGATCAACATCGAAAGCAACAAGGTCATTTCAGCTTGTAAGTTATGAAGGTAACGGTGATGTAACGCGGGGACTACGGGAGGGCTGCTTGAGACCGAGTGGTCAGCGAAGGCCTCTACCAGCAAATGAATTGGAGCAGAGATTCCAGAGAGTCACCGTGGCACCACCAGGGGTGAGGACAAGATCCATACAGAGTGCAAGTGCAAAGGCCCCCGAGGCAGGACTATGCCAGCAAAAGACAGCGCCACTGGAGAACCAGGATGGAGGGGGGTGGAGGACAAAACCACTTTTTTGTGTGCTTATGGTGGGGACTGTCCCAGGCACACAGTAGGCCCTCAGTGCTTTGATAGAATTACGCCCAAGAAGCTGCAGTATCCCAGAGGAAAGGAACTCTGACAGCTTAGAGGAGTCAGGAAAGGCCATAAAAAGGAGGTGACATCTGAACTGTGGCCTGGAAGGAAGGGGAAAATTTCATCAAGCAGGTTAGGGAGAAAGAGAATTTTAGGCTGTGGAAACAGCATGGGCAAAGGCACTGTGGCCAGAAATGCCGGGTGTGTAAGTGATGGGTAATTAGGTGAGGGGCCACCAGCAGCCAGACTCCAAAAACAAAAAAAACCCAACCAACCAACCAAACAGAAAACGTTCACAGGCGGCTAGTAGAACTGCAAATTGGCGCAGACATTTTGGACTGCAATTTGGCAGTGTTTACCAAAAGCATAAAAGCATGCGCCTTTGGAGCCAACAGCTCCCCTTCCAGGAATTGATCCCGTGTGACTCTAGTCATACAGTCACACAAAAACATTTGTGCAAGGATGCTCACTGCAGCATGTGTTTTTGTAGTGAAAACGGAAAATTATCTAAATGATCATCCATACAGGACTGGCTAGCTAACTGTGGCACGTCCATCCAAGTGCAACGCTATGCTGTGGTTGGGAAAGACAAGCTGGACCCATGTGTGCTGACATGGGTGTGTGTCAAGATGTGGTGTTAAGTGGGAGAGGCAAGGTGCCAAACTGCAATGTGTGGAATGAGCCAATTTTGATACAAAGGAAATTATATTTGATGTATAAGTATATATAATTTTCTATGTGTCAAATACATATACATACTAACATATACATACTTATCACATACTATATAATTATACGCAGACATCTTATATACAAACATATACATATTCTGGCCAGATATACAATTTTTTTTCTTTTTTGAGATGGAGTCTCCCTCTGTTGCCCAGGTTAAAGTGCAGTGGTGCAATCTCACTGCAACCTCCAACTCCCGGGTTCAAGCAGTTGTCCCGCCTCAGCCTCCTGAGTAGCTGGGATTCAGGCACCCACCACCAAACCCAGCTAATACTTGTATTTTTGGTAAAGACAGAGTTTCACCATGTTGGCCAGGCTTGTCTTGAACTCCTAACCTCAAGTGATCCACCCACCTAAGCCTCTCAAAGTGCTGAGATTACAGGCATGAGCCACCTCACCTGGGCACACATTTGTAAGAATTTCTTAAAAAAATTGTTAACAGGGGTTGCATCTAGGAAATGAGACTGAGAGGGTTCAGGGAAAGAAGTTTTACATTTCATTGCCTTCCTTCCTGGTACTGATTGATTATTTTCCCTTGGGTAATATTTACTTGTATTATTATTTTTTTATTTTAATTTAATTTAATTTTATTTTATTTTACTTTATTTTATTGAGTCGAAGTCTCGTTGTGTTACCCAGGCTGGAGTGCAATGGTGCAACCTTAGCTCACTGCAACCACTGCCTCCCAGGTTCAAGCAATTCTCCTGCCTCAGCCTCCTGAGTAGCTGGGATTACAGGTGCCTGCCACCATGCCCAGATAATTTTTGTATTTTTAGTACAGACAGAGTTTCACCAACATTGGCCAGACTGGTCTCTTTGGCCAGGCTGGTCTCGAACTCCTGACCTAGTGATCCACCTGCCTCGGCCTCCCAAAGTGCTGGGATTACAGGCGTGAGCCACTGCACCCAGCCTTAACTGTATAATTTTAAGAACTAGCACAGAGAATACCTGTAATTATTTTTGGTCTCTCAGCATTAGAATTGCCCCCTTCCCATGTGCAGGGGGGTCCCCCACCTTCTGAAGCAGAGCCCACCTTCCCTTCTGAGAGATGACTATGCCAAGTAATTGCTTTGTCCGTCTTCCTTGCAGCCAGGACATGTGACTGACAGGTGCAGCCCCAGACTTGGGACCTGAAGCTAGTGCCAGGAAGCAGCAGGGAAGGAGTGGGGTATGTTCTGGTGTGGAGAATTGGTGATGGCAGCTCCTGCCAAGGACCATTGGCAGCAGTGACACTCACTGTGAGAGTGTCCAACACCAACAAGACAAGCTGCACTGTCCATGCCCAGCCATGGTGCTGGGATTCTTCATGGGTCTGCCTGGTGGTGGGATTTCGGTTATCATTTCAGGCTGTGTGGTCACCAACGTGGATTTTCTAACTCTCCTGGAGATTATCTGAGCTGTCCAGTATATACATATATGTTTTTTTTGAGACAAGGCTTCACTGCGTCACCCAGGCTGGAGTGCAGTGACACAGTCAGTCATAGCTTACTACAGCCTCGAACTCCTGGTCTCAAGAGATTCTCCCATCTCAGCCCCCTCAGTAGGTGAGACTACAGGTGTATGCCACCATGCCTGGCTAATTTTTAAAATACTTGTTATTTGTTTATGATTTACTTATTCATTTTTTGTAGAGATGGGATCTTGCTTTGTGGCCCAGGCTGGTCTTGAACCCCTGGCCTCAAGTGATCCTCCCACCTCAACCTCCCAAAGTGCTGGGATTATGGGTATGAGCCACGGCACCTGACCTAGGAGCTGCCCAGTATTTAATAAACCCCTTATCTGCTTAAATCAGCCAGAAGTGATTTCTGTGGCTTGGGATTAAGAACTCCTGAATGCCAGAGTTCGAGATAAAGGAAGATGAAGGAGGATGGAGAACCCGGGAGAAGGAGGAAGGGAGAAAGAAGATGAAGCAGGCCTGAACTTTATATCACAGGAAATGGGAAGTCACTGAAGGATTTTAAGCACAGGAGATCTAATGAGATTTGCATTTTATGTGGCCAGAGGTGGGTTGGATAAAGCTGGCTGTAGAAAGGAGGCTGGGGCACACTCCAAAGGAGGGACAAGGAAGCTTGAACTACAGAAGCCCCGGTGAGGCTGGAGCAGGGCTGGAAGGAGAGATGTGAATATCACTTGGGAGTAACTTATTATGTGTTATGGGAGAAGGAAAAGGGCAAGTTGAGGAAGATTCCCAGGTTTCTGGCTTGGACAATGTGGTGAGTGATGCTGCTGCAAAATGAAATAGGCATTGAGCAGTGGAGCAGCTTGCTGGGGCGATGATGATGAGCTTGTTTGGGGGAATGACAGACAAGCTGGAGGAGGTGTCCAGCTGACAGTAGGTATCTGAGCCCAGAGCTCAGGAAAACACTCCAGGCTGGCTTCAGGTGCAGATTTGAGTCATGGTGTACTCAGAATTCTTTTTTTTTTTTTTTTTTGAAACGGAGTCTTACTCTGTCACCCAGGCTGGAGTGCAATGGCATGATCTCGGCTCACTGCAACCTCTGCCTCCCAGGCTCAAGTGATTCTCCTGCCTCAGCCTCCCAAGTAGCTGGGATTACAGTTACCCACCACCGCATCTGGCTAATTTTTGTATTTTTAGTAGAGATGAGGTTTCACCAAGTTGTCCAGGCTGGCGACTCAGGTGATCCCAAAGTGCTGAGATTATAGGCATAAGCCATCGCATCCAGCCAGAATTCTTTAACAAATTGCTCTCCAAGGTTGGGGCGGGAGATGGGTAGGCAGGAAGGAACACCTAGAGTTGTAGTTTGCCAATGTCCGTGGGGTAAAATACTCCCACCACATTGATTCCAAGCTGTCAGTGTGATGTCATTGAACAGATGATTGGTTCGGTTATCTTGAATTTTCATGATACAGATAGCATAGATAAAAATAACCTTAAGAGCACAGATAATAGTAAAATAACTAGAAAGTTATGCATTTTGAGTATTATCTATGTTTTTAACATAATTTAACTATAACTTTATATAATTTAATTTTTAATAATGTAATGGCTTTAACAACTGGCTCACACAATTCCTGAAGTTTTTTTTTTGTTTGTTTTGCTTTTGGTTTTTGTTTATTGTTTGTTTTTGAGATGGAGTCTTGCTCTGCTGCCCAGGCTGGAGTGCAGTGGCATGAGTTCAAACAATTCTCCTGCCTCAGCCTCCCAAGTAGCTGGGACCACAGGCACATGTCACCACGCCCAGCGAATTTTTGTATTTTTAGTAGAGACGGGGTTTCACCATGTTGGCCAGGCTGGTCTAGAACTCCTGACCTCAGGTGACCCACCCACCCCAGCCCGCCAAAGTGCTGGGATTACAGGCTTGAGCCACCCAAGCCCAATTCCTGAAGTTTTAACCATTGTTCTCGTGAGCCAAGTGAGATCAGTGCCCCACTGGCTTTGGAGTCATTAGCAGACAGGTGGTGGCTGGAGCCATAGCGTTGAGCGTGATCACCCAGGGGTGCACAGAGAGTGAAAAGAAGACAGTGCCCAGAGCAGACTCCTGAGGTAGCAGCAACCTTCAGGGGTGGCCAGAGGCAGAGGAACCTGGAGAAAGACTGAGAAGGCCCTCGCAGTGAGAAAGGAGGAGAAGCTGAAGAGAGTGCACAGAGACCTTGGGGATAGAGGTCGACTAAATGCTAGAGGGAGGCTGGCAGTGGAGAGTCCATGATGGATGGGCAGCAAGTGGGCGGTTGGGGAGCTGAATAGCAGTGAGCCCGAAGAGGGAAGGGGCAGCAGGGGACAGCCTCCAGGAGAAAGTGACATTCAAGCTGGGTTTTGAAAGAACTTACAAGTGGTGGCGAGCATTCCCAGCAGGGGATCTGCCAGAGTATTGAGGTAACAGAAAATAGGTTAAATTCTGAGTCAGGCAGGAAGTTCATTTGGCTGCTAGCACAGAAGCTTAGGCAAAACAGGCATTTATTCTTCCACTTAAACAAGTCCAGTGGTGAGCAGTCAACAGCTGCTGTGACGACTTCACAGTCATCAGGAACCTATTCTCCTATGTTTTTGGTGCACCATTCTGAGTACATGAATTTCATCATCATGGCCCAAGATGGCTGCTGTAGCTCCAGCCATCATGTCAATGCAGACAGCAGGAGGAGGGGAGGTAGGGTAAAAAGAATATCTGTGAGTGTCTTTTTCTTTCTTTTTTGGGGGGCTACGGGTTGGAGTCTAGCTCTGTTGCCAGGCTGGAGTGCAGTGGTGTGATCTCAGCTCACTGCAACCTCTGCTTCCTGGGTTCAAGTGATTCTCCTGCCTCAGCCTTTCAAGTAGCTGGGACTACAGGCACATGCCACCACGTCCAGTGAATTTTTGTATTTTCAGTAGAGATGGGGTTTCACCATGTTGGCTAGGCTGGTCTTGAACTCCTGACCTCATGTGATCTGCCCACCTCTGCCTCCTAAAGTGATGGGATGTGAGCCACCGAGCCTGGCCTTTTTTTTTTTTTGAGACGGAGTCTAGCTTTGTTGCTCAGGCTGGAGTGTAGTGGTACGATCTCAGTTCACTGCAGCCTCCACTTCCTGAGTTCAAGCTATTCTCCTGCCTCAGCCATCTGAGTAGCTGGGACCATGGGCACATACCACCATGCCTGGATAATTTTTGTATTTTTAGTAGAGACAGGGTTTCACCATGTTGGCCAGGCTGGTCTTGAACTCCTGACCTCAGGTGATCTGCCCACCTCAGCTTCCCAAAGTGCTGGGATCATAGGCTTGAACCACCATGCCCGGCTAGATTCACCAATTATTAACATTTGCTACATTTTTCTCTCTTGCTCCCTATGTGCTGTCCTCAGAAAAAGGGGGCATGGATACTGGGTCTACACTTTCTAGCAGGTTGGATCCTTTCCCCTGTCATATACCCCTACCACCCTTTATAGCATGGGGTGGCAAAGCTCAGGCTCATGGGTCTCCAGTGGCCAGTCCCTAAACCTGTGAGTCCTCAGGACCTCTCACCGTTTCTGTTGTCTCTTTCCTCAGGAAATGGGCCTATCCATTCTTTTCTTCTGCTCCCCTTCCTAGGAATGTACTAAGGACAATGACTCTGGAAGCTTCTGGGAAGGGAATGTGGCAGAAGGTGAGAAAGGGTTTTAGAGAAAATCCCAGTTGCAGCAGCTGGAGCAGAGAGTTCTCTCAAGTGGATCCTGGGGATCCCAGCCCTGCCTGGGTTCTGCAAAAACCCAGATGTGCCTTTGTAACTCTGTGTATGGTACCTGGCAGATTAAACATTTAGCAACGTTCTTGCTGTCCAGAGGCCTCAGATTCCTGCAGGGTAGGCAGGACAGGAAGCTGAGAACAGGGAGGGGAATGGGGGACATTTACTGAACATCTACAATGCGCCAAGTACTCCATCTATTAAGTCACGAAGTCCTCACGGCAATCCTTCAAAGCAGGCATTTTCATTGCCATTTTACAGATGAGGGAATTGTTACCCAGAGAGGGAAAGTCACCGGCCTTTGTTCTTTTCAATCAGTTTTCCCTGCGTGCCTACTGTATGTCAATATCATTCCAGGTACAGGAGATGCAGCAGGAAATAAGACCAATGGAGTCCTTGCCCTTCCGGAACTCAGTGTTCGAGTAGGATGGGACAGACAATTCACAACTAGTAACCACAAAAGATGCTTCCAGTGTGCTGCTCTTGTTAAAATCATCAGCGACACTCACTTTGCTAAATCTGATGACCAATCCTCCCTGCTACCTCTGACTTCTGAGTACTTCCCATCAGCCAGATGCTGTTGTAGGCCCTGGGGACACAGCTGTGAATAAGAGAGGTCTTGGGGGCCGGGCGCAGTGGCTCCCGCCTTTAAGCCCAGCATTTGGGAGGCTGAGGCGGGTGGATCACCTGAGGTCAGGAGTTCGAAACCAGACTGGCCAACATG